GTATTTTCCTATTTCAGTTGTATTACATCAAGGATCAACTTTAAGCCTATATCCTTTTGTTTTAATCATGGATGTTCTTATTCGACATTTGCAGGAGGATTTTCCCTAGTGCATGCTTTTTACTGATGATATTCTTCTTGTTGATAAGATTAGAGAGGGAGTTGAAGGAAAAGTTGAATTATGGAGGTCAATCATATAGTCTAAAGGTTTTCATTTGAGTAGATTTAAACTGAATACATAAGAGTGTAATAGATTTTGTGAGGGAATTGTGACTTTAGGTAATGTAGTCATTAAAAAGAGATATCTTGGGTCTATTGTTCAATGTGATGGTGAAATAGATGGAGATATTATTAGTAGAATTCAAGTAGGATGATTGAAGTGGAGGAATCCATCAGGCTTGTTGTGTGACAGAAAAGTACCCCTCAAACTTAAGGGAAAATTCCATAAGATGGTGATAAGACCTGCAATGTTTTATGGCACCGAATGTTGACCATTAAAAGAGAAGCATAAAATTAAGCTAAGTGTTGCAGAGATGAGGATGCTCAGGTGGATATGTGACTTTACTCTTAAAGACGGAATGCGAAATGAGTGTATATGTAAAAAGGTTGGAGTATCTCTAGTGGTAGATAAGATTAGAGAGAGTCGCCTTAGATGATTTGGTCACATAAATTGTTGGTGTTTCGATAACTAGATTAGGAGAGTAGATGTATTAAGTTTGGCCTATGTTAAGAAAGATAGAGGTAGACCTAATAGACTTGGTTTGAAAGTATTAGAAATGACCTTCCATTATTAGATTTAAATGAGAATCGGACTCTTAATAGGACATAATTGAGAAAAAGGATTTGTGGTGCCGACCCCACAGTGGGATAAGGACTTGATGTTGTTGTTGTTGTTGTACTTCTCTTATCCTCTTAAGGGCTGCCCATCTTTATGCCATATTAACCATAGAAGAAACATAATTCATATCTGAGGTATCAGTTGTAGATATGATTATCTTTTAAATTTATGATAATCAACTTAAATAAATCATCACAGTTTCTCTCTACCAAACAACATTTCTTTAGAAACCCAATAAGTAGCTATTCCTAATGGACAATATAATGCTGTGTTACACCGTTACACTAAGCAAGCTGTGATAATATATGCATTGACATAGAGATCAGTTTCACAAAAATTAACAAATAACTGAATCAGCCAACAGAAAAACATAATAACATTGACCATTTGCACAACAATCCAGCAAGAATAATAAACTTAGTTTTATAAATGAACCAAGCTACATAATCAAGTGACAACATTTATGTGTACCAAACTCATAACATGGAGTATTTGCAAAAAAAAAAAAAAAAATCATAAACATGAATACATGATTTAAGTAGTTTGAGTAAAAAATAAAAATACAACAAGAATTAACTAGATTGAGTAACCACATCACCTGATCGCAAGGAGATATTGAATGAACAAGAAGCAAGTGGGAAACAATGTTTACTACTACAACAACAAGAAGAGAAATGCTTAGTAGAGTTCTTGAAAAGAAAGCAATTAATAATGCTTATATTCAAGTCAGTAAGAATATGCATGCAGGAGCTATTACTTGTGTTCAAACACAAGGTGGTTTGACCAAGTATTTCCTATTTCAGTTGGATTGCATCAAGGATCAGCTTTAATCCCATATCTTTTACTTTAGTTTTGAATGCTCTTACTAGACATTTGCAAGAGGATGTGCATTGGTTTATGTTTTTTGTTAATGATATTCTTCTTGTTGATAAGACTGGAGAGAGAGTTGAATGAAAATTTGAATTTTAAAGGTCAATCTTAGAGTATGAAGGTTTTCATTTAAATACATCTAAAATCAAATACATAAAATGTAATTTTAGTAGTAATAGTTTTAGTGGTGGGATTGTGACTTTGGGCGATCAAGTCATTAATAAGAATAAACGTTTTAAATATCTCGGGTTTATTGTTCAAACTGATGGTGAAATAGATGGGGATATTATTAGTTGAATTCAAATTGGATGGTTGAGGTGGAGGAAGCATTCAGCTTGTTGTGTGATAGAAAAATACCCTTTAAACTTAAGGGAAAATTCTATAAGATGGTGGTGAGAACTGCAATGTTTTATGCACATGTTGGCCATTAAAAGAGAGGCATTAAATTAATTTAAGTGCTGCAGAGGTGAGTATGCTCTAGTGGATAAGTGGCTTTATTCTTGGAGACAAAGTGCAAAATGATTATATATGTGAAAAGTTTGAATAGCTCCAACGGTATATAAGATTAGAGAGTTTCCTTAGATGGTTTGGTCGCACAAAAAGTCAGCTTTCCAATGACTTGGTTAGGAGAGTAGATGTATTAGATTTGACCTATAATAAAAAAGGTAGAGCTAGACCTAAAAAGGCTTGGTTAGAAAATATTAGAAATGATCTTTTTAGGTGTGTATCTTAATTGACATTTGGCTTTTGTTTGTTTTAATTTCTTCTTAAATTTCTTTGATTGGGGAAATTGTTATAGTACTATTTGATGTGAATTTATCATATTTGTTGGTTTACATCAAAACATGGCAAGTTCTTACTCTAATTTATAGTCTTTAGATTGAGAATTTTCAACCAGAATTGTGTGATTTGATACATTACATTATTTTGTTGCATTACAAATTCCAGACCTAAGACATCCTGCACCACCAGTTAGTCTAATTAATTGAAACAACTAATTATTCTTGTTTAAAATATATGTAAGAGCACATTAAAGGTGTTTCAGAAATAATTCATTTTGTTTTTAAATTTGAAAATGAAAACATGAATGTTGAATTAATACTTTTTCAACTAAAGTAACTATTTTTTAAAAAGAAATAAGAAAATAGGAAATTTGGCCATGTTTCCATCCATTTTCATTTCTAGTTTTTTTTTTGAACAGACCATACAAAAAGATGTTTGCTTTTATTTCTTATTTTATATTTTAAAAAAAGTTTTTTCTTGAAATAGTTTGAACACACTTATGGGTGTTATCACATGTTTTGGAAACATTACAAGTGGTTGTTTAGACCAACTAGTCAAATTAATGGATATTTTTCATGAATATTTTATTATTTTATTTATTATTTATTATTTATTTATTTTTAATTTTTTTTTTCATGAATATCATTAAGTTTCTATTTACATTTAATTATGGTTATTTGATCTAGAATAATTAATTATTCAAAATAATTTATTATGTATTATGCATTGAGGTCATTTAGATATTACTTAAGGGGTTGTTTGGTTTGAAGTAAAAGGGTGTAAAGTATTCCAAATATAGGGATTTGGAGAATATTGGTATTCAGTTTTTGGTTTTATGTCAGTCAAATGTAGTATAAAATTTTGGTGTATTTGGAATTCACCTTCTAGTTCATTTTGGTATATTTGAATTCCTTAGATTTGGGTGATTTTTCAAAAACACTGGAACTTCATTGCGTGTCGTCGCTCGCCACCGCTGTCTGCCACCACTACCAACCTTCACCATCGTCCTCCACCACCATTGGCCGCCACTGACTGTCGTCGACAGGCACTGAACGCCATCGCCCCTCCAGCCTCCACCTATCATATTTTAGACTACATTCATTTTAGTCCTAGCCAAAAAAAAAAAAAAAAAATCCCTGCATTTATTTTACACTTCCAAATAATTTGAAAGTATTTCAAATACACTTTATTATTTTTACATTGCAGTTCTTTTTACAATGTATTCCTTTTTAAATCAACCAAACTACACCTAAGGTAATTAATTATTCATAAAATAGGTATTTAATTATTCTTTTTTTTAGTTAAAAAATTTGCTCTGAAATCAGAAATTAATGATTAATTTTATGAATAGTAGTCAGTTAATTATTTTCTTAGATTGTTATAGTTAAAATTGAGGTAAAAAATAAACTCTTAGATGTCTAAAGTGTAATTGGTAGTCAACTAATGTTTTTTTACCCTCCCAAAAATCCTCAAGTTGGGAGCTCATTATAATGTAGCCAAGGATCGAATCCAAGGCTTTGGCAACAACTTCCAAGGACCCAAGGTCCTTTCCAACTGGATTAGTTCTCACCCAAGAATTAATTATTATGTTAATTAACTGTTTAGGCAAATAACTATCAATAAGAATTGAAGGTCTTCGTAGTGTTTAGCTATAGTAATCAGGTATTGATAATTATTTAATCAAATAGTTTTGGATTATCATTGATTGCAGTATTTTTAATGACGATTTTCAAGGCTTTAGAATTTTTTATTTGTGGTTATCTGAGGCTGTTGTCTAGAGTAATTTGGTTTTTTTCTATTAATAAATATGCTTCTTCTTTCTATTCATACAAACAATAAATAAATATGGCCATCTTAATATAAATTTTTATTATTTTAAGTGAAAGAAATAACAATGAAATTAAAAAAAAAATCTTCATGGTGGAGTGAATTGAATCGGGTCCTAAGCTTTTAACACTATTATTGTACCTAGTATGAATGTCTGACCTGTTTGGTGATTAATCTTGATTGAGTTTAATGCGTTTTAAAATAAGGATACAAAACAATTTTCAATTATTCATGCAAGTATATCATATATAGGTTAATCTTATGTGGCTTTTCAGATTACTACACATTTGTATAGCCCTTGCATACCAGTTGGAAATTGGAATAGCTTTTACAAGATTTATGTTTAGATCACTTGAATTTGCACTTTCCTGTAATTTTTCTGACCCCATGTTGTGGGATAAAGGCTTGTTGTTGTCGTTATATGATGTTTATAACACAATATTTTATTTTTTTGTTATATATTGCCCATGGACCTATATCTTCATTGATTATTTCGTAAAGATAGTGCATGATCATTTTCTTCAAATTTTAACTCAGCTTCCAAAACTTTCCACATTCATTCAAGGGTGCAATTGTTTTTTCACACGCTGGAAGCATCTTTTCATATTTGCATCTTACTAGTTTCATGTACGTTAGAGTCATTGACTTATGAACTGTAAATGTTTTAATCATCATTGTAACAGGTCCGCTTTCTTACCAAAATATACCATCCCAACATTGATAAGGCAAGTGTATACACTCTTATTGGTTGATATGTTTTCTATTTTGGTAATTTTTTCTTGATGATAGGCATCTACACGTGCAGCTAGGACGGATATGTTTGGATATTTTAAAGGATAAGTGGAGTCCTGCTCTACAGATTAGAACAGTTCTGTTGAGGTGACATTCCTATTATTCTTCACTAATAAATAATTATTTCATGCACTAATTGAATTATGATCCCCTTCCGAAGTTTTATTACTTAAATAATTGAAGAATTATTATCTTTTTTGTTAATTTGGTTGCAACAAATGACTAGAAATTTTAAAAATATTAAATGCACTACTCATATGATCAAACACGGATAAAAATCACACTTTGAGTTTTCTCAAGTTTCTTTAAGGTAATGCCTCATCACCGCTCATTTTCATCTTGACTCTGTAAGTTTTGATCATTAGTAGTGCTTTATCTCAACAAGAACAGAAATCTCAATTTAGCGTGAGTGATGTTAAATCATTCCTTATAGAATTTCCTACAAGGAATTCTTTACATGAGTTCAGTCCATCCAACAACCCTATGTGGAGGATGCCAGCTCATGCTGATGTCTTCTGCCCATGAGAGAGAATTCAGACTGTTTTATTCAGATAGAGTTACTTGACATTCCGCTATTACCATTGAACATTTCCACTACTTTTTGAAAATATGAATTGGGGTATTAGAAGAAGTTTCATGACATTGAAATTGTGAAAGTAAGATGTTTTTTTTTCTTTCCCTCTGCAACTATCTAATGTTATATTCTCTACTGTATAAATCTTAAGCTTCTTAAGTCATTGTAGTTAATGTCATTTATTACTATTATGTAGATAATTGTTTCCTTATTATAAATGCTATTCATGAAAATGACCTACCACATTTTTATTTTGGTATGTAACAACGTTTCATTACTTTCTCTCTTTTAGCATCCAAGCCCTTCTCAGTGCTCCAAACCCAGACGACCCACTTTCTGACAATATTGCTAAACATTGGAAGACAAATGAAGCTGAAGCTGTTGAGACAGGTTTGCCCATATCTTATAAAGTATTGTTTTTCACTCTGGATTCCATTGCTGGGGCCGAGCTGGCAACTTCTGCTTTCCTTTGTAAGCTTGGAATTGTTTTATTAGATCCTAACATTGATTTCATTCTCTTAACTGGATTGGCGCAGCCAAGGAATGGACTCGCTTATATGCAAGTGGACCATAATCGTGTTTTCATCAAATGAAATTCTACAATCCTGATATACCCTGGTATTAGCTTTAACGGCAATAATGAACTGGAAAGTTTGAAAGCTTCTCCATCAAGTAGCTGGTGGTGGTATAAAATCTGCATATTGTAAATTTACTCTTAATTTCAAAACAACTAACTCAATATCTGTATCATGAGCTACTGGAACTGCTTGCTCTTTAATTTTTCTTGGGTTTCTAATACACATGCATGTCTATCATCCAAATCATCACGATGATGCAAACTAAATGTTTTTCAGACCTTTTTTAGTGAGCTTGAGGTGCTCAATTACAATGTTCTCGTCTTACTTTGATCTGTTTGCTACGTTGTATTGCTGCTGCATGATAAAAATTCTTCAAAACGCAAGCAGCCTTTATTGGACCAAGTTGTGTCACACCGAAAAATTCTGTTGTCTTGCTTCATATGCCTTTTATTCAAGCTGTAGATTCAAATAAAAAATATTTATAATTTACATGGATTTCTGTCTGTCTCGGTCAATAGAATTGGATTAGAAAAATGATTTAGTTGAGGTGCTTCATTTCCACTGGAACAAGAATTGGATTTTTTTTTCTCACATTTATCAAATTGATCTCTCCGTTTTTCAAATTCAAATCCCTTGGATTTATTGATTCTCTTATGAATAGGAAATGCATAAAAGCCAGGTCGATTCATTGTTATGATCAGAAAAGGGGATGAGAGCATTGGTAACTGTAGCTCTAAGAAATTCAAGCATGTTTGAAGAGGTAATCATATTTTGCCTCTGTTTTTGGAATTGGGAATCACTAAATTTTGTTTCTTCTAATTTGGAAGGTTCATTTGAATGTTTGTTCACAATTTCAAAATTATCTCTTTGGGAAGCTTCAATTTTTTGGAATTCAAAGATTCATTTTAAGAAATTTATTTATATTGACATATTAATCTTAAGAATTATCATTCTTCCAACAGTTTTTTATTTCTTTTACACTACTTGCAACAGATTCTTCCTCCATGGCTTCTATTCCTCTGAATTTAGATGTAGGCTTCCAAATTGCTCCATAGAATTGGCTGAGGTGGGCGAAATTATTTTGTGCGGTCATCGGAGGTCAATCGGACGTGTCATATCATCAATTTACTATGTATGATCTTTGTATATTATTATGTATTGGATGATGTAGCATGTCCTGATTGACCTCCGGATAATTTAGTGACTGCATGTAATAATTTGTCCCGAGGTGGATGGCTTTAGATAGTTGCTTCTCTTGTTATTCTTCCATCAGTTACTGGGTTTCCTCTGATAGGGCTCTCGGTATCACTGTTTCTGAGGTTTTTACCTACTAATTTACAGCTCCTCTCAGATTTTATTACTGTTGACTTAGTGGACACAAATTCTGCTGCAAAAAATTGCTTGGAATCAAATTAAAATTTTCTGACCTAGGTTAACTAATCTATTCTAAGTTTCTTTTTCTTCTTCATTTTCTTCCTTGATTTCTAATCATAAGTTTGCCAATAATTTCCAAGAAGCAAATTCAGAAAACAGATATCTTTTGTGCTCAAATCTATTGTCTTTTGGATTTGGCCGAATTATTTCTCTTCTATTTAGTTGAATTAGTTGGTTGTCCAAATATACTCTCTTTTGGATCTGGTTGAATTGCCTCACGCTCCTCTTCATTATGACATATACTCGATTTCTTATTTAATTTAGTTTTTTTTTTCTTTTTATGCTGTGTGGGCTCCACAATTCGAGCCACGGCCTCTTCTACCTTTTTTTTTTTTCTGTTGGTGAGAAAAGTTTTAACGAGTTTAAGTTATGGTGTAAATTTTTAGAATACATATTGAATTTTTAGATAAGACAATCAAAAGATTTTATCCTTATTTTGTGACGAGTTAATGATTTGAGTTCTAGTTTCCTATAGGTGTAAGTCTTTATAGTTAATTATCCCTTGCGATAATGAGTTAGTTCTAATTAAGGTTAATCATTGGATAGACACTATGTACCCAATCAATAGTAGCAATAGAATTAAATATTGAAAAGTGAAAATTTATCACCGCGCACATAAAGTGGATGGTTGGGGAATGGTGATCACATGGTTTTGTCTTCTTTGGTCACCATGGTCTTTAGTTTTAGTCAGAGGATGTAGTAGACCTAATCCGACCTAAAAATTATTTTCGATAACCATTGGTTGCTTAATACAATGATACCTTATAGACTTGAGGTGAATGATTGTCTACGGGCATAAATTTGTGTCCATCTTAACTTATTAATTATATCTTATTGATTCACTATTCAAGATTTTAGAACTATTGAGGAACATATAGGCTCTGGTCCTGATCATAATTTAGTAGTATAATTTGATGGTAAAACTACTTGATCAAAGAGCCTTGGTCATAACCGTTTATTTGTGATGTCATTTGATGATGAAATCAGTTGTAAGAGGACACGTGCCACATTCTTCATGACAAGAGATGATTTGAGAATGAATCATAGTGATATTATCGACTAGACATTCACTTTTTATGAGCTGAATTAATTTTCAAATTTATTCATCTCGACAAACTATTGCGGATGGTGGATGAATTTTTATTTTAAGTGTTTAGGTGATTTATTTTGATTAGATATTTTCAAATTTTGAAGAGCAATATATTTGAAATCTTTATTTAAACTTAGCATCAAACAATAAACTTTGAGATTTGAGGGTATTTCTTTAAATTTGTTGGACCCCTCCAGTTGAGATTTACATTCAACATGATCATAATTGGAGTTTTATGGGTATAGTCATTTTATTAGTCAAACATTGTCAACAATGTTTTCTAGCAAATATATAATTGGGTTATGCTCCTATTTTTTGGAGTTGTCGTATAGATATGCGAAGTAGAGTATTTATTTTAATATGTAAGTTTCTTTTGTAAGAAATTTTGAAGGTCTAATATGAACGTATAAAATTAAATACTTCGGTTAATTTCAACAAGTGTCAGTTCAAAGAGTTTATGCTTTTAATAGTGAATTTTTATTATAATAGAATTCAAAGGCTAATATGAATGTATAAAATTGAATATTTTAATTAACGTCGTGTATTTGTTCGATGTTTCAAATCGTGTCAAATCCGGCCTATTCAAAGTAGAGGATCGAATTTGAACTTTATATATATATATAATATATATATCATGCTCGTCGGGGCCCATGCAGGTATCTTAAATTTCATTTTAAATGATATGTGTGTGCATATCAACATATTTATACAATATATTTTGTACATTTGAAAATTCATTCATTATTTCTTTAGTCTGCACAACATCTTCAAACTTCTTGTATAGAGTTTATGCTTTTAGTAGTGAATTTTTATTGTAATAGAATTCGAAGGCCTAATATGAATGTATAAAATTGAATATTTTAGTTAGCGTTATGTCGTGTATTTGTTTGATGTTTCAAATCGTGTCAAATCCGATCTATTCAAAGTACAGGATCAAATTTGAACTAAGTTCACTTTTGACATGCACAATATTATATTATGCTCGTCGGGACTCATGCAGGTATCTTAAATTTTATTTTAAATGATATATGTGTGTGCATATCAACATATTTATATAATATATTTTGTACGTTTGAAAATTCATTCATTATTTCTTTAGTCTGCACAACATCTTCAAACTTCTTGCACATGTCATGCTCGTGAGGGCCCATACGATATTTTGCTTTTTCAATGCATTTTGCAATATTATATATTTGTATTGTTATTTGATTCATATTTGTATGATTACATATTTGCGTGCTTCATGATTTAAACAAAGCATTTACATAATATGAGTAATGCTTATATATAATTTGCATATGCATTTATATGATTCTTGTATGATTGGCATAATGCATTTGCATAATTGATATAATGCATATGGAGAATTGATACACATGCATAAATGGCCCATAGTGTATTTGCATACATATTTGTATGCTTGTTTATATATGCATTTGCATGTTTTTATATGCATTTACCTATTTGTATGTGCACTTATGTGCTTGCATATACATTTGTATGTTGCTTAGTATATGTGCATCATATACTTACATTTATATAATGCACTCATAAATTTTATTTAGTGCATTTGCATGATGCATTTATATATTTGTTTAATATGCATGTATGCTATCTTGACATGATTATTGGTGCATATGCTAGATGCATTTATTTGATTAATGGTATGAATACATATTATGTAGTGCGCCCAGACGACTGGAGATATAAGTAAATGCCACTTTATGTATGTGTATAATTCATTTGTATATATTTGATATATGCACATTATATAATAGGGGACTCATAGATGACACCTTTCAGTGATTTGACATGTCGTCCATACTTTAATGAGGGGTCATATAACTCATGATACGCAACAATGTTCTAATGCATATGATTCATAATTGATTGGCATAATGCATTTGCATTTATATGATTCTTGTATGATTAGCATAATGCATTTGCATAATTGATATAATGCATATGGAGAATTGATACACATGCATAAATGGCCCATAGTGTATTTGCATACATATTTGTATGTTTGTTTATATATGCACTTGCATGTTTGTATATGCATTTACCTATTTGTATGTGCACTTATGTGCTTGCATATACATTTGTATGTTGCTTAGTATATGTGCATCATATACTTACATTTATATAATGCACTCATAAATTTTATTTAGTGCATTTGTATGATGCATTTATATATTTGTTTAATATGCATGTATGCTATCTTAACATGATTATTGGTGCATATGCTAGATGCATTTATTTGATTAATGGTATGAATACATATTATGTAGTGCGCCCAGACGACTGGAGATATAAGTAAATGCCACTTTATGTATGTGTATAATGCTTTGTATATATTTGATATATGCACATTATATAATAGGGGACTCATAGATGACACCTTTCAGTGATTTGACATGTCGTCCATACTTCAATGAGGGGTCATATAACTCATGATACGCAACAATGTTCTATTTTTTTTTCAAAGACATTCACAGGGTGTACGACACATTCACAGAGTGATTACGAGTCTCTAACTTTAACAGTTAACATACACGTACTTAAGACACTTGTGCGCTTGTGACTCCTCCGCTTGTCATTTTGTATTTGGAGTTTGGCTCAGCGGGTCCTAAAAGGTGATCAGTTTTCTGGGTCATAAATAGGGAACTTGATCCTAATTCATTTCTTTGCACATTTCACTTCATAGAGCGTGTGTTGCTAAGGGGTTTGAGTGTGCATTAGCTCTTAGCAATTAGTTCTCGTACAAGTTCATTAACAGTTCTATTATGTTGTACTTATTATTATTTT